CTCTCCTCCTACTCCCAATTCCCCCAGTTAAGTTTGCCCTGTTACTGACATCCCTTTCTAATGCATTTATGCACATTTGTATGCATCTTCCTTTTTAAAGGGGATCCTACTGTACATATTTTTCTATAGCTTTTTTTGTCTTTTATTTAATAATGTCTTGGAGATCATCCCAATCTTATGTTTCTCTGTTTTTAACAGTGGTTCATATGTTCCATAAAGTTGCATTGACTATTCATATACTTTTGTATATGTACATATACTTTTACACACACAGGATTCTTTCTGTACATTCCTAGAAGTAGAATTCCTAGGTCCAAGAAAATTTCTTAAACTATTAATCATATATTCTTTTCTAAGATCCTTTATGGTTTGCTTATTTTTTTGGAAAAGTTATTACGGAGCTCTAGAAGTTTGGAAAACAAATAGTATTCTAAGATAAATTTCCTGGCTATGGATTTGTTCCCCTTTGCAAAAGGGTTGTAAACCATGAGTTTATAACTTTAATGGGTTTATTAAAAAAAAAAAAAAAGAACTAGTTGATCTCTTAATCTAGGCATTTTAGTTAACACATGGGAGATATGACCCTTATTTGAATTTATAGGACAAATGGGGAGATTTTGAAGGGATGATAAGAAAACATTGTTGAAAATGTCTTTTAATATTTTTAGTGGAGAAACCTGGCAGATACCACCTTACCCAGGGACCAAAGTTAATATCACATGTGATAATCACATTGATACCACACAGTGATGTAATACAGTGAGATGGGCACATTGTCTCTATGATGTCCTGCCCTCAAACCCATAAGCCCAATTTAATCATGGGACAACGTTAGAGAAACTCAATTTGAGGGACAGTCTACAAAATACCTGACCGTGACTCTTTAAAAGTGCCAGCATCATACAAAACAAGCAAAGACTGAGTAACTCTCTCAGGTTGGGGTGCAATAAGGAGACAATGAGAACTAAATGCAATGTGATATTTTAGATTGGATCTTGTAACAGAAAAGGGATGTTAGTGGAAAAATTGATGAAATCTGAACTAAATCTTTGGTTTAGTATTGTATCAATATTAAATTCTTAATTTTGATAAATGTACCATGGTTATATAAGATGCTAATTTAGGAACCTGAATGCAGCTCCCTTTAAATCTAAAAATATTTTAAAGGAAGTTTTGGGGGTGGTGCGGATCATGCCTGGGTGGCTCAGTCGGTTTAACGTCCAACTCTTGGTTTCCACTCGGGTCATCTCAGGGGTTGTGAGATAGAGCCCTACATCAGGCTCTGTGCTCAGATGGGGGTCTGCTTAAAGATTCTCTCCCTCTAATCCAAATCAAAACCTCAGTGAGATACCACCTCACACCAGTCAGAATGGCTAAAATTAACAAGTCAGGAAACGACAGATGTTGGCGGGGATGCAGAGAAGGGGGAACCCTCCTACACTGTTGGTGGGAATGCAAGCTGGTGCAACCACTCTGGAAAACAGTATGGAGGTTCCTCAAAAAGTTGAAAATAGAGCTACCATACTATCCAGCAATTGCACTACTGGGTATTTACCCCAAAGATACAAATGAAGGGATCCAAAGGGGTACATGCACCCCGATGTTTATAGCAGCAATGTCCACAATAGCCAAACTGTGGAAAGAGCCAAGATGTCCATCGCCAGATGAATGGATAAAGAAGATGTGGTATATATATATACAATGGAATATTATGCAGCCATCAAAAGGAATGAGATCTTGCCATTTGCAACGATGTGGATAGAACTGGAGGGAATTCTGCTGAGTGAAATAAGTCAAACAGAGAAAGACATGTATCATATGACCACACTGATATGAGGAATTCTTAATCTCAGGAAACAAACTAAGGGTTGCTGGAGTGGGAGGGGAGGGATGGGGTGGCTGGGTGATAGACACTGGGGAGGGTATGTGCTATGGTGAGCACTGTGAATTGTGCAAGACTGTTGAATCACAGATCTGTACCTCTGAAACAAATAATGAAAATATGTTAAGAAAAAGAAAAAAAAGAAGAAGATGATAGGGGAAGAATGAAGGGGAAATCGGAGGGGGAGATGAACCATGAGAGAGGATGGACTGTGAAAAACAAACTGAGGGTTCTAGAGGGGAGGGGGGTAGGAGGATGGGCTAGCCTGGTGATGGGTATTAAAGAGGGCACGTTCTGCATGGAGCACTTGGTGTTATGCATAAACAATGAATCATGGAGCACTACATCCAAAACTAATGATGTATGGTGATTAACATAACAATAAAAAATTAAAAAATTCTCTCCCTCTGCCTCTTCCCCCAATGCATGCTCACGCTTGTGCGCTCTCTCTCAAGTAAAAAATCTTCTGTAAAAAAATGTGGATTTTGTTTGTTTGTTTTTAAGGTATTTCTTTACTCTGGACAATGTAGTCCTAAAAAGTTTGTCTTCCCTAGAACACTACTTCTTACCTCTTAAATCTAAGAGACCCTCTTGTCCCAAAGAGGGGAGTCCATTGAGCTTTTACGGACTAGAGACTTGGTGCAGTTGGAAGAGATGTCATGAATGTTTGAGGCAGTAGAGACATGGCCATAGCAAGGCCAGAAAGATGTGATCTGAGGGAATGGATACTATGGCAAGAGAGCAGGCCTGTAGAATCAGAAACTGAGTGAACTTTCTTTTGGAAAGGATGGCCAAAGAGTGTGAAAGAGCTATTTGAGAATGATTTGGCAAAATATAACAATAGCTCAACACAAAGTTTTGCAAATAGGAGACAAAGTCACCCTAACCATTAAGAGGGATTATCTGCCACTCACAAGTGATACAAAAGAAGACCTATAAATGAAAGTGAAGTGTAGTGGCAACCTCTCTTTCTGAAATCAAAGATGAGGCTGGATTGATTGAGAATATCTGAGACCTTTTGCAGTTAGCCTATATCAAGACATTTCTTATGGGAGATGCGACCCAACAAGCATAAATCAGTAACCCAAATGCAGAGGAATGCAAAATGGGTAGGACCATGGCTGAAAAGATTATCAATCCTCAGGAAGAGACATTATTTAAATAGGACCCCTTCCTGTACACTAACATAATATAACTGTACTTGTATCTGAGCCCAAGATTAACTGTTTAGTCACTCTTCTTGGTAAGTTGGAATCTAAAAGTTAATATTAAATTTCTTGAATGGGTGGACCATCTGGTTACAGTTTTGGTTTCAGTTCCCTGTTATGCATTTGGCACCCAAATAAGAACTGTCTCCAAATGTGAATAGGCTGAGTCAGTCATAAACACTCAAAAAAAAAAAAAATTTTTATTTTATTTTGCTATTCCAATATGTCAGAAGATGAAGTATTTAATGAAATGGTCCTTTTTTTTTTTTTTAATGGCACATTTCTTTACCATGATGTGTTTGACCTAGAACAGTGGTCAGCAAACTTTTCATGTAAAAGGCCATTTAATAAATATTTTTGGCTTTGGGGCTCCTGGGTGGCTCAGTCGGTTAAGCGTCTGCCTTCCACTCAGGTCGTGATCCCAAAGTCCCAGGATGGAGTCCCACATCTGGCTCCCTGCGCAGCAGGGAGTCTGCTTCTCCCTCTGCCCCTCACCCCGCTCTGGCTCTAATGCCCCCCCCAATAAATAAATAAAATCTTTAAAAAATATATTTTTGGCTTTGCAGCTACAAATGGTCTCTGCTGCCTATTTGTCATTGCTTTTTTTTCCCCTTAACCCTTTAAAAATGTGTTTTCTGTGTCTTTCACCATATTTTCATACTTTGTGATAGTGGCTAAAGTTTGCAGACTGGTGTTAAGCAATGATCTAAAATCAAGTTTCTAGCTGTAGATTTATTGCACTGATCAAAAAAACTGTAAACGTGACTTTAATGGATTTATAAGAAAATGGATATGTAGTTGATTTCTTACTGCAGGCCTTTTGGCACATTCATGGGAGTACTCTCTAATAAATATGACACTTGCATAAAACCCATCATACCCTGAAAGTTTGCTATCCAGAAATAAAGGGCCTAGTTTTTAATTTCAAGTTACTTCTTCAAGACATCTTTTGTTTCTAAATAGGCTAATTATTAAAGTGGTTTCATCTTTTAATATGTAATGTGGTGATTTATTTTTCAAAGATTCAGTATAATCTGTTTTCCCATTTAACCCATTAGCTGCCTCCTTTTTATAGTTTTGTTGCTATAAGTCACATTCTTGCTTTCAGTGCCTCATTTTACAATCACATTATAGTTTCTGCCTCTGACTTGGAGCTCATCTCTGGCTTTTCACTGTTTCTGTCCTGAGGCCATACTTCCAGACCCCAGCTGGAGGCCTTTAGGACCCGGAAGCCATCCTTGGGATCACTGTGGAACAAACATCCTAATGCTCCTAAAAGGCTGAGTGGTTAGATACCATGCTACAGATTATTTAGAGTTATATTTTGCCCACTTCACATGGTTTTTCTAAAAAGGTAGATAGGATCACACCTTTAAAGATTTGAGCTTTTATTTCTTCTGTTTGCATTTGTCATAATATACTGTCAAATCTATAAATCTTGCATTCAAAGCCTCTGTTCTGTTTGGCTAAACAGTGCTTAATCCAGCTGGCAGCCCATTTTAGCAGAAGGGTGTCTGATGAAAACCCATTTACTTGGTTGTAGCACTGGATCTCTTGAACTTGTCGACAATACTCAGAATGGTTAATATCTTTTAAAATTTGTTTTACCAAGGTAAATCTCAAGGAGAACACAGAAAATAAAGCAGCATGTGCAGTTTTTAATTTGTACTGTTTAATAATCAAAATGGAATTTTTTTACTCAGTAAAAAGTTGGTTGGGTTTTATTAGCATTTGTTTTGAATAATTAAGGCTTTTGATCTCTTACAGTTCTCTCTCTAGATATTTGAATTCTATGAAAATGAAACTCTGTTTATTTAAACAGTGATAGTTTCTTAAATGGAATACTTTAGTCATCATAATATTCCTAGTAGAAATTTTATTTTCTCCTAAGCAGGGTCTAGTCTGTTGTTATTAATATCACAGGGTCAACCAGAAGAAAGGGAAATTTAATAAGAGTAGTATAAAGAGAAAACAGTGGCATGTGATTTCTTAAAAAGTCTCTGAAATTCAGCAGTTAACTTCTTATATCAGGAATCGAACAAAAAATTGATCTATTTTCCTACATCTATGTCTTACGATGTATTTCAGTATCAACATTTTAAGAGTTCTGAGTTATAGATATGACAGTATAATCTGTATAATCCTTTTTTTTTTTAAATGTGGGTATTAGCTTATATATGTAGATGTGGAGTCTGAGTAAACTCGTGAGTGAGAGGAGTGTGTGTGTATTTGTTCGTTTCTCACTGAACCACTCTTCTAGAGTCTTTAGGTCAGCTGTCATGTCAGTGCTTTCCTGCTTTGTTCTTTCGAGTCAGTCTAGTCACTCGATGACTGGTGACTGGCCGCTGGAAAGGAACGCTTGCAACAGATGAGTGCTGGGGCCCTCCAGTTCTCGCCTTCCCCTGTAGCAGCTGCATTCTGCCCTTTCTGTGGCCCTACAAGGAAAGGAGGAGAGAGGGCGGGGGTGTGCATGTGTGCGCGCTTGCACGCGTGTGTGGTGATCTCTGTCAGTATGCATTACAAGGTTTCTCAAGCACGCGGAATGAAATCTTTCCCAAGAAATTCTGTCAAGGCCAGCACACACGGGAAATGTATTGCTATGCTTAGTCTGTACCTGTGATTGTTTTTGTTTCATGGGACATTTAACTCATGGGACATAGCTGCGCTCCACCTCTCTGTTTACCTGACCTTTCTTTTTGAACTCTTCCAGGCAGCAGTACCTGTCCAAAGATCACTATAGTTCCACCTTGTTTGAAAAGAAGCACGACCCCACTGGTTGATCAGAATGTATCTAATGAAGAGGCTCAGGGAATAAATGGAAAAACACCCGCGAAACACTCAGCTGCAAGTCCAAAGCCACAAGGTATGGGTTTTGTTTGTTTGTTTGTTTTTGATCAGGTTGGGTGTTTTGTTATTGATGAAGGCTACCCAGAAGAATGATAATGACTAAGAAAGAGTTTAAAGCTTTAAATGGAAATATTGGGTGCATTTATTTTTTTTCAGGGAAAAAATCAGTCTCAGGCAGAGTTGGGTATTTGTTCTGCTCCTAAAACACCTTATACATTTTTCTAATATAATTCTTTTCTCATTGCTGAAATTTACATGTCCCCTTAAGGTGACTGTGATCACTTCATGCATTATCCTTGACCTAGTACATGGCCTGACTTACTATTTGCATAATAAATGTATGACAATGAATGACTACTGTCAGAAAATCAGTATGACTTGCTAGATGTCAGAGGATCTGTGAAACAGATAATTGTAAAACCGTGCTTAATATACTTCGTAAGAATGTGATTTTATACTATTCAGGAACTGGGGCTTGAAAAGGCTTCTTAGTAAAGTCATCCACAATTATTAAAATAAATGGCTCCTCCATTCAAGAATTGAGCAGTCAACAAGGGGAAAAACAATTACAGTGGTGGAAATTTTTGAATGTTTTGTTCAGGGACCATTTCCTTTTGGCAATAAATTTCTAGTGAACTGGGTATTAGCTTTAAAGAGCACAGAACTTCAATTTTGATGACAGAGAGTAAGACCTTTGGAAACATTAACACAAAACTGAGCCCTACTGTGATTTAATGTGTAGTTTCTTCCAATAGATTTTTATTTGTACCAAATGCTGAACATTCAACCAAGAAACAATATTGGGCATTTTCAGAATTAATATATATTTTGGGAAAAAATAAATTTCTATTTGATTTATGTTGTATTTACTTTGGTCTCTTTCTTGTTCTTTGAAAGAAAAGTTGTTACAGAGAACACATCATAAAAGAACAAGTGTTACTCTTTAAAGTTCTTATGTTTTTAGGATTTCTGAGTCTTAAAGGCGCTTAAACAGAAAGGGGCTTAAAATAGAATCTGCCAGATTGTGGGACGTTTTTCTTTTTGTTCTCACTACTGGCTATATTTGTGGTAGTGTGGGGTAAGGCTATCAAATAGTGAGGTCAGATAATTGGTGATTGAAATGAATGACTCATTCATGAGTTCATAACCTTTTCTTTTGACCATATTCCTCCCTATATAATTGATATGAATATGAACATAGAAATTTTTTTGATCATGGTTTAAGCTATTTTATTTGCCAAATACAAAATTCCATCTTGCTCATTAGACCTGAGCTGACAGAGATCAAATGAAGTAGGAATATAAAAAATGAATGTAATTCAGTTTTATGTAATTGCCCAGATCACAAACAGGAATTTCATTATTTATAAAGCCTTTTTTGGGAAGATGCATTACTTCATTGTTTTTCATAGTTCATTGAGATAAATTACAGCAGTGTCCTTCCTGAGCTGCTGTGTGCCAAAATAATCATATTCTTTAGGGAGCTAACACTTGATCTTGCTTTTGCTGTTTGGAATTATATTAAAGTCAATATATTGATTATTTAAATACATACTTCCTGTTCTGAATATGGATTAATATCTATAATTTTACCTAACTACAGGGGCTATTTCCAGGTATTAAATGATTTAGAGAACATTGTACTTTTTTAAAAATACTCTCACTCATTGCTTGGCCCGTTCCTGGTTCCCCAGCTAAAATTTTAACCCCACTGTCACCTTTGACATTTCATATTTCCTCTTACCTGCTTTATTTTTTCTCATTCATTACAATCTGACCTACTCTGTATGTCACTCATCCATCTTAGTTTATTTCTGCCTTTGGACTGCCAATCCCCCATGGCATCGCAGGCCTTCAGTAATACTTGTTGAATGACTCCCTGCTCCATCGCCACGTTTCCTCTACTTTGTTTCTGCTGTTCTTTGTTCAAAACTTGGAAGAATGTGTGCTATACAGAGAAAAACATGCAGGAAATGAGGCTACATCTTAGTATTGTCAGATCAGCTGCCAAGTAAATTGGGCACTACTTACTTATTAACCAAATAAAAGTGTTCCCCACCCTCTAGTGGAGAGAAGCTTACTTTTAATTTCTCCAAACCCTTCAGAATATTTGGGTGACTGAGGCAGAGAAAGGAAGGGGTCATTAATAGGGACTTCCTGTACAGATCAAGGGATTATCATGCTGATACCTTTATTCCCACTTCATGGCAAATCCCTTACAAATTATGAATGGGGAGCCTACTGAGGCTTCAAGATCCATTATGTAATTTTAATTTAATTGAAGATTCTTATTTTAGAGAAGTGTTCTTAACTGGAGATAATTTTGCAGCCCCCCACCCCATGGCCCTCACTTGATATTGTCTAGAGACTTTTTTGCTTGACCCCACGTGTGGAAGTTTCTAATGGCAGCCAGTGGGGAGAGGCTAGAGATGCTGTTCAACATCATACAGTGCACAGGCCAGCCCCCCAAAACAAAGAATTATCTGACCTGAAATGTCAGTAGTTTGAGAAACTCTTATCTGGATCCTCAAAAGAGCTCATAATTAAATCTTTTTTTTTCTCCTGTGGAGTGCTAATAATATCGTAGCTACAATTTATTTTAGTGACATTTAAAGGGAGGGACAATATTGAATACCTTTATTAGTGGTGATTATATAGTAATGTTTCTGGAACAACATCAGGTTTATATTTTTGTGTTTATTAATAAGTAAGTTATGGGGATATAGTGTACAGCTTGGTGACTATAGTTAATAATACTGTGATGTATATTTGAAAATTGCTGAATAGAGATCCTAAAAGTTCTCAACCCATGAAAAAAATTGTAACTGTGTGGTGATGGATGTTAATTAGACTTTAGTGATCATTTCACAATATATACAAATATTGAATCATATTATAAACCTGTAATTAATATAATGTATGTCAATTATATCAATTAAAAAATACCAACAAGTATTTTTGAACAATTATAATTTTAAAACAATGAAAGAGCTAAATTTTAGATTAGATAAGCTTCCATTTGAATCTAAGTAAGAGCCTGTAGCTTTTTTGAAATAGATTCCTTTAATAGTTAGGGCTTGTTTTGCCTCAGCCTCAGAAAATACCCTAAAGCCTTGGAAAACAATGGTTTATTCACTTCATACCAATCCTACCCGTCAAACAAATAAATTACTGAGCAACTTCCAACATAAGTGTGTCTTCTTGTTCACCACTTTTAATATTGAACTATTTCCTGCGATGCTAGACATAACTCAAAATAACTTCTTTAGCAATTAAAGTTAATAGTTCTTTTTCTCTCAGGAGCTCTGATCCACAGCATTCTCCATAATTGTTTATCTTGTAGAGCCCATATATTATTACTCATCAATCATTAAACCTTAATGTTTAAAAAAAAGTTTCATGAACTTCGAAAGCCACATTATTGTTTGAATAATTTAAGTAAATGTGAGGTACTCAAACGCATTTCATTTTCTTCAAGAATCCTGTGTGTAATGTTCCATTCTTAAAGTATAATATGTTATCAATTCATAATGTATTAAAAATAGCCAGCTCTGTAGGGCACCTGGCTGGCTCAGTTGGTAGAACATGAATTCAGTATTTACTGAATACCTCTTAAGTTGTATGTACTTGATCTTATCAATAAACAAAAGGAAAGATAAGAAACAAAAACCCTAATTAAGTAAACCATATATGAGAAGGTGGTGAGAGCTAAGAAAAAAGGGGGAGGGCTAATACAAGTAAAAATTTAAAGAAACCCTGTATTGATATGTAAGAATTTCTTTAAGATATGTATTTTGGAAATGTCAAGTTCCTAATGGTTCTGTTAATTTATATTCCCTCTCAAAATGTATGAGATATCATATTGCTTGATATCCTCACTGACACTTGGTATTGTCAGATTTAAAATTTTTGGTTAACCTGATGGGGCTGAAGTAGAATCCTATTTTAGATTTAATTTTCATTTCCCTGATTATTAGTGAGGTTGAACACTGTTTTTTCTATTTACATCCATTGGGCTGCAGGGGGTAGAAATACTATGTTGAGTTTCAGACATACTAAACGGAGGTGCTGATAGAACACCTAGGGGATGTCCAGAGAGCATTTGGAAATGTTGACCTCCATAGGGTAGAAGATAGAAATGATGAGAGAGGGGGCAGGGGAGGGGAAGATGAGAGTCCTTTTTACTCATCAGTTCTGTTTTTTGACCAAAGTACACATTATTTCCCCCTAAGGCAGTGTTTCTGACGCTTTAGCCATTCATGTATCATCTTGAGATTTTTGTCATATACATGTAACATTTGTGCTCTTTTATTTAAAATGTGCATATTTACTTTATTTTCCATTTGGGTTATCTCCCTTGATGAGATGCCTCCTCTGTGCTTCTCAAATAACAGTACCCAATGCCCACTTTTATCAACCTCATTAAACTGTCTCCTCACTAGACTATGAATTCCTTGATGACATTAATTTGTTCCTTCATGTATTCCACAAATTTGCCAAGCACTGTGTAAGTGGTTACTGTGAATATATTTGTGATCAAAATAAACTTGTTTCTTACCCTCACAGAACCCCAGGCTTGTGGAAGAGAAAGCTTTACATTATAGTATACTTAATATTTTATTTCTCGTTTATTTAATACTATTTATGATTACTTAATCATAGTGATTTATTATAAGCACTTTGGAGAAAAAGTACACAATGCTATGAAACAGTTTGAGGTAAGCATAATTGAAATGGGAAAAGTCAGTGGAGTTATCTCTGAGAAACTGGCTGATACGTATCATCATTTGAGTCTTCTAAGCATCTAACAGTGTCTGATATGTAATAAATAATGTTCACTGAGTAAACTCTAGATGAATAAATAACAATTTTATAACAATTTTTATAGAATTATAAAGAACACATTCACTTCCTTTTTTGAATATTCTAATTAGGAATGTTGAAATTATTCTTAATATTAAAACTTTTTTTTTTCTGTGGGATATTGTCATAGTTTGCTATTTTGGTATATATTCTACACAGGAAATTTTTCCTTAAAATTAACAAATATCACACTTTTATAAGTCCCTTCTTTCGCAATGGATACTATATTTAACCATCCCCCCTGAGCATTTCTTAGAAAATAACACCATTTCCATAAAAAGAAGCATGCCATTTTTTAATTGGGATTTTCTTCTTGTGTTGAAAGGGAATGAGGTGAATTGTTATACCTGTAGTTTATTGTGATATGCTTTTTTTTTTTCCTTCTTTGTAAGAATTGGTAACTCACATAGAAATAATGACATCTAAGCCAGTGAGCATCAGGCAACTGTCAGCCAAGTTTATAGAAGAAATGAGATGACTGAAGACCAGGGTAACCAGCTGGAGAAAAATGGGGCATGTAATTAGGAGACATGATTCCCTTCCCTTCCTTGGGAAGTCAGGACAAGGATTTAAAAAAAGAAAAACAATGATTTTATTTGATTTGTTAGAACCAGTTATAGAAAAACGCATACATGTTATATAATCCTTGACCCAGAATGTTAATATAAGAGGAAAATTATATTGGTTTTCAAAATTGAAGTAATTCCTGTACTGATAAAGCAAGCACTTATTTTCTCATCTACAGAATTTCTCATCTGTTAGAGAAATTCCGTAGATTTTAATATTTCAGGAAATGATCTGTTAACTGAGGGAAGGACTTAATGCTAAGCAAGTAGTTTGTGGTGTATTAATACAAGCCAACTATAAACATAGCAGACAATAATAACAGAACTCCTATAACCCCCTTTTGCTGGTTTTATGATAAGGAGCAATGCTGACAGAGGAAGGAATTAGAGTCTGGGTACCAGTCATAAAATCAGATCAGCCTTATTCTTCCAGGGCAATCACTTAACCACTCTGAACCTTCATAGACCTAAGAGATGAATAAGGCTACCTACCTCAAAGGACTGTAAAGTGAAAAATTTCATCTAAGATCAAATGAGATCAGGTGCTTTTGTTAAATGGGAAGATGCTATAGTAATTACTGTTGTTTGATATTGTTTTGTTGGCTTTTTATGTCTAATTTACTAGCTCTGGATTCTGTTATATTAGCTATTACTCTATAATTAGAAAATCTGTTTTGTAACAAGCTGTGTATCCCTAGGAATTAGTTTCAAATTTAGTACTTTCTTTTCTCCATTTAGATAAGTAACTGCTATGTTATCTCTAGTAGACATTGGAAGGTCACAGCAATACGCAGATCCCTAGATGCTTAATAAAGCCATATTTAAAATGACCTAAAATTAAAAGAGAACCACTTGAATCTTGGAGGTGGGATTTCCACAGGACACAACAAATGTCCTAGATAGAGATCCCTTGGTTAAGATTCAGTACAAATTAGACTCCTTTACAAAAGTTTGATAATGCTGAAGATTTTTGCACCCAGGCCACCAGTTTCATTTGTAATGGAATACATATCAGTGAAATACTGAATTCTTTTAATTCTTTTTCTACAGTGCCTCCAAAGCCATTACATCTGCAGAATTCACCTTTGTCCTGTATACACCAAACCCCCAGGCATAAAGCTTTATCTAGTGAGAAACCAACGATGGAGGAAGTTAAACCTGCCTCTGCTTCTTGTGTCTCAAAAGAAAAACCCAGTAAGGTATCAGATCTCATCAGTCGCTTTGAAGGAGGCAGGTAAGAGCTAATTCACAATGGGAGAAAGAGGAGGGGTGAAGAAAGCTGGGGTGTGTGTGTGTGTGTGTGTGTGTGTGTGTGTGTTTAAGATGATGGAGTAATATACACTGCATGGAGCACTGGGTGTTATACGAAAACAATGGATCGTGGATCACTACATCAAAAACTAATGATGTATGGTGACTAACAAAATATAATAAAATTAAAAAATAGATGATGGAGTAATAGATTTTCTAAATCATAAGTATTCTACTAAGTTTTGGTAGGCTTTTAGAAAGAGTAAATTTTAAAAATACTTAAACTTGCCCTAATATGAATTGTCATTTACTCTATATTCCTGATGTGCGGCACAGTCTCTGCCACCAGCTTTTTCATCACATTGTGTGTCGTATAGATCAACTGATATGCGCTCTCATTTCCTTTGTATCTGCATATGTCACATTGTTTTATGCCTCGGGGTCATGCCGTGGATAGCTAGCTGTCTGGGTTGGGAAAGCAAGAGGTTGTCTCTCCTTGTTTCTCACTTGGCATGTTTGTGGCTGGAATTTCTGCCGGCTATGCCATCTCTGTGGCCTTCTTTCTGACCTACTTTTTATTTAACCTGAGTCTTCAGTATCCATTCAGCCCCCTTCCCCTTCCCCCGCCCCCACTCCCTTGTATCATACTAGGTTTTGTGAGGAGACCTTGCCAGTAGCAAAATAAACGCTAAGTTTCAGTTTTGTATTTATTAGATATAATTTTATATTCTTTAGTCCTAATGTTTCAAAAAACATAGGCAAAATATGAATTTCTCACTTGAAGATAAAAATAAACACCCATAAGTTGCTTTTCTCCTTTATGACCTCAATTGCTTTTTCTTAGAATTCCCATCACTGACATAAATAGAATTAAAAAAAAAATTTTTTATCAGAAGGATTTTAATTTTCTCTGTCACCAAAAGTTTATATTTGCTTAAACAATGTATATAACCTCTCTTTCATACTTGAAGGCAAATATTTCCATTCATTCCAGTGTAATAGTTGGGAATGGTTTCCTGCTAGGTGATTGCATTATTTATTTGCAGGATTTATTATTATTTACATAGTGGATCATAGCTTGGAAATACTTACAGAAATCTTCTGAAAATTGTGACCAAGTACAAACCTGCAATATCCTTCATTTAAAATGAGACTATATTTAGAAACAAGTTCTTGAGAAGAAAAGTAGTTCAGAAGCCTGTCTTCATTTTCATTCCCAATCAATTGTGGGAACTTGAGTCATAAATATTTAAACTTCAACATCTCTTCCTCTGAAGTGGGAATTTTAATACCTTTGCTATCTTAAATTATAGTAATCTTTACCAGAATTATTTAATTCCACTTTAAATTTTTTTCTCAGGGCAAGTTGATTCAGTAGCACAGAGAGTGACCCTTCATATTTGCAGATTCTCAGGGCCATGTCCAATGACTGCATAATATCAGGAAGGGCTGTAGCCCTGATACCTGTCTGTAGTGCATACCAGATTTGGGGGGAGCTGTGGGAAGCCCTTAATGGGTCAGTATTGAAAAGGTTGAGCCTTCTGATTCTCACCATTTTGGTAACCCACCATTTGCATTCCTGTCCATACACAAAATGTACATAGTTTTTCCACATATTAGTACCAGTTTTCTTTTACTCCTTCAGACTTCACAGGTTCAGAGTCATTTTTTGACGCAAAGTTTGAAGGTTGTATCTAAGGAGAGATATGTTGTAACCTAGATATTTTAAGCAAACTTATTCTAAGTGCAGATAGAATGTAATGTGAGCATTTTGGCAAATCTGGTGAAGGGGTGTTACTTGTAGCAGAGTCTACTGCCAGTACGAGAAATGAATATATGTTCTTAGTGAGGTATTACCAGTAGGAACTGGCCCTAAAAGCGTGTGAATGGGTTAGCGTTGCATTGAGTCTATAAGACTTGAATGGGAAGTTGTATTTCTTGTCGAGTGATGTCCATGTGCCTACAGTATGCATAGCTTTCAGGTTTTACCCCAGTTTTTACAGCTTAAAGTAGCATTTTGAGGAATAGAGATTCAGCAGGCCAAGTTACCACTGTAAACTGACAGGAAGAGAGTGGGGTCATAGGTTACTAACTATTAGACTGCACTATTAAGACTATGTATCAGAATTTTGCTCCTTGCAGTAATGCAAGTAACGCTATTATATTAAGGTGAGTGATTTGGAGGATGTATTCGGAGCACCTGAATTTTATTATTTATGTATGAAAGTATTACTACGGTTCCTCCTTCCTTCCTTCCTTCCTTCCTTCCTTCCTTCCTTCCTTCCTTCCAGAAACTAGTCTTTTTAACCCATGAAAGATTTCAGGATTTTAGAAAGAAATAACATCTTGCACAAAACTGAACACTGGTTTTTCCTAAGGACATTTCAAGGCAAACTGTCTTTCCCCATGGTCTTGGCATCCACAAAACAGCAGGAATATATGTATTGGTTCAACCACTGCTTTTACTGACTTCTCACCACCTTATCTCTATCCCACCTCCATGTGCATGTCCCCTGGAGATCACTTATTACAGGAAATACTTACCTTTCATCCAAAACAGTCCTTTCCAAAAATCCTAAGCAAGTCTGAAGTTGGTTCAGAGGATCTGCTGAGGATCTTTCTCCTGGGTTTCTGAACATTGATGTGGGGAAGAAAAGGAAGACCGTGCCATTTAAATCTCCAAGGACTGCTTGAGAAATCGTCTAGGCCAAGAGTATGCTCCCCTAGAAGGCACATATTAATGGTGGAGTATGTAACACTTACTTACATTGACAGCCACCAACTTTTATATATATCGCATTTTCCCTGCCCAATTTTTCCTTCCCTTCCTGTGGTGCTGAGCTTACCATGTCTTTTATTAACTTTCTTGCCGTCTATGGTTATTCTCCATTCCAGATCAGCAGTGTCTGGGAGGAGTAGAATGAATAGAGAAGGTAACCCACATCTGAGCACTGTCCATGGACTGTACTGTTGTGTCCTCTAGCCCGTAACCTCTGTCGGCACCGGGGAAGAGGCTAGACCTGGACTTTCTTCCCATGTTCTGTATGCAGGCTACTCACCTGCTGCTCCTTCCCTCCATGTTCTAGTGTGTCACAGTGTGGGCTTAAGACCATGGAGTTCGAATCAGACTTCAGGGTCAGACTCTAGCAGTATCATTTCTTAGCCATGTGACATCACCTCACTATGCAAGTTTCTAAGCTTCAATTTCTCTATTTTGGGGTCCTGTTTTAGAATTATTATGAGGTTGAAACAAATAATGTAAAGAATACCATGTATTTTCCGGCACTTAATAAATGCTAGCTGCTGTTATTGAGTGACTCTCATGATCACCATTACAGTTACAGTTACTCTTTATTGATCCCTGAGTACTTTCCATATGCCCAGCACTGTGCTACGAAGTGGGAAAAAGCAGAGAACAAGATAGGCGCGGTCTGCACCCTCCCAGAGTATTAGTCTGTATTCATTTTGTCTCCTTATTAGGTCATAGGAATCTCTCCAACACTGCAGCCCAGAGATTTCTGTTTTTCCTCTCCGGAATCCTAGATTAAAATGTTATGCAAATATTTATATAGGGACATTGTAATATATTGGCAGTTAGGTTCTATTGTACTAGTAGGGTTATATATAATATCAAGTAATAAGGGCTTTAAGGAAAACTAAAACAAGATGTGTAGTTCATGGTAGAGTGCACTTGTAATACATAGAATAATCCAAGAAAGCCTCTTTGAGGTGACATCTGAGCAGAATCCTGAATGATGGGAAGGAGTCAGCCACACCGATGTCTTGGGGAAGGTCGTCCTGGGCAGAGAGAACAGCAGCTGCAGAGACCCTTAGATGCATGCATGGGAACAGCAGGGAGACAGGAGTGCCAAGAGACAGTGAGTGAGGACAAATGGAACTGAACGAGGCCAGGGCAAGTAGGAGCTCGTGTGTACAGACTCCTAGGTTGGGGGCAGGATGCCAGATTTACCTTCTAAGTGTACCGGGTGCCCTCCAAGAGTTGGGCCTCTGTGATCGACCTTGAGAGACTGGATTTGAGAGGATGGAGGCTGGAAGCAGAGAGGTCGGTTAGGTTATGGCAGCAGGGGTATCAACGTTTCTGAGAATGCGTTCTGCTCTCTAAACAGAAATAACCTTTGATTTCTAACCTGTTCATAAATTGGGATCTGACGATACTTGTTTTTAAAATGTATGAAAGTAAAAATCTTGGGAAAAGATGGCTTTCACTCTAAATACTTCTCACATCTCAGTCCTTACTGACGAGCCATATTGACGCACAGCACAAGGAAATGTTCCAGACCCTATAGCAAATGCTCAGTCTTACCATCTTTACTTAAATGTTTACTTAAGTGTGTGTAGCATCCCAAGAGACTGAGAACTATGCCCAACTATTCCAGTCCATGTTTCTAAAACCATCAGAGGAAAAGGTCTTCGTGAAATATCTCCTTTCAATTGGAATAAGCTGGTCCGTCTTCTAGAACTTTTCCATGCCAGTGTTTACATACTTCTTTTGTATTTTATCTTTTAGCACATTATCAAATTACAGTGATTTGAAGAAAGACTCTGGTGTGAACCTGAATGTTCCTAGAACCCCAGGAAGGCATGGACTGACAACCACCCCTCAGCAAAAGCTCCTCTCCTCACACCCACCTCCGAAGCCGGAAAATGACGCCGATCCAACTCAGGGTGTACGGACTGGTGTGGCTAATGGTGTGATGGCAGCACCAACCCAGATGGAATGTGAGGAGGATCAAGTGGCCACTCGTAGCCCAGAAACTCCAGTTCAAACCTCTGAACATGTGCAAGCTATGAACTTAGTGAATGGAGAAGGAGAGGAGGAAGCGACCACAGGCCCTGCATCCCCCACAGCAAAGGACTATGACAGAAATGTTTCTGACAGTACCTGCAGGACTGCCAGAGTCAGCCAGGTGCTCCCCCTAGAAGAAGAAAGGGCGGACACGGAAGCCAAGGTGCAAGAGCGGGAAGATGGAGAAAGCCCTCTGGAACTGGACCAGCTGGACCAGCACCATGAGATGAAGGTAAAGCGTGAGACTGGCTCATAAGTAGGAAGAAGCACCAACTGTTCCACTGTTTTTAAAACTCTGCTTAATAGCACCCGTGAAATGAATGAGTCAGATCACCCACACCGCCAGTTAAGCAATTTTTAAACTTTAGCTGCTAATGGATGTTTCCCCTACTCTATGAGGAAATAGTTCACTTTTTCTGGTGTAGTTTCTATTGATCTTCCTATTATGATTTCAAGAGTCAGAACATTCTGAAGATGTTAATATAGGAAAACCACAAGCTTGTTTTTTTTTTACTTAGGAAGAAAATGTTCTTTGTTGCTCTAGATATTAGGGCTACATCCCTAATATTTATGGGCTAAGCAAGAGGAAATTGTATGATTTTCACTTTTCACACATTTCTAGTCTAGACCTGGAAGAGTAACTTGCACCAGCAAATGTTTCATTTAAGGACACAAATACGGTAGTATTCACAAATTAGTCAACAGATTGTAACCGTAACTCTTTCCAGGCTTCTGACTGTGTTTTTAAAAATTTGTCATTAGTATAGTTTTAAAACAATCTACTTAATCTTGGATTTAGAAGCCTCTTTAAAGATCATCTTAATTAAGCAGTTCATTTATAGAAGTAGAGACAGTTCCAGAAAGCTGAAGTGATTTTTCAGGTCACAGTAATAGCCTGGACCCTTGGTGCCCTGACTCACAGGCCAGTATTGTGTCCCTGATGCAAAAAAATCACAAACTTAAGTGTGTAAATGCAGGAAGTATCCACAAATACAGCATCCATGAGTAATATTTTGGAGAGAGGGGAGGCTGTGGCAAACTAGAAGTTCAGATTGTTTCTAAAGAGGGCAGCAGTTCAGTGAAATTGCTTCAATGGCATGTATGTCCAGGTGCAAAATCTAAGCTTACAAGGAGCTGATTTGCTGGTGAGATATGTTCATAATTTACCTGGGCGACAGAAAAGCTTTGCTACAATTCTAGGAACAAGACCACTGCATTTGTATTCTTTATTCCTGTCAATATGGTGTTTTGGAAGAATTAATAAATACAGCTTTTACAAAGTACCTGGAATTTCTCAGATCAAAGGTGCAATAGAAGCATCATTATACAGTTCCCTGGAAGAGAAAGTTGTTTATGTCTCTGAGGACCAAAAAAAAAAAATAATTCCCATTGCTCAGTTTCTCTTTTTAATTATAAATAGTAATCTGTGTAGGAGAGTTGAGAATTGAAAATTTGGCAATTATAGGAAAATCTGTAAATGACAAATCAAGTTCTAAATTTATTTAGGATTTTTTATGGTGCCGTGGCTTAAGTGGCATTAACATAGGGAGAAATTCAAAAGGACTAATACTAAAATCAGAGTAAAAAGTGATTGACTGATGTGTTGACAGTTTTAACTAAAATGAAATCCACGTTATGGTACGGTTTTTACTAACCCTGAAAAAGGTCCCAAATAGACAAAAAGCCAGGGATTTATTTTCTTCCAGTTAGTGAATAAATTTTAAATACTGTCAGGCAGAGAAAGTTTAAATAAGGAAGTGGGTGGAAGAAAAGTGAGTCATACTTGGTAACATTATCTGAAACATTAAAGAGACAGGACATTGCAAAGTAAATCTCTTCACTACATCTTGATGTAGTGGTAGATTTTAGTGCCGCTGTGCTTGAACCATGGTGAACAGAAGAGGAGGTTAGAATCAAGAAGCTCAAGACTCCTACATTTGTGCTTTAATAGTTGGGATGATGCCACCAGCAAGTGTTTATAAAACAGTAAGAGCTATTCTTTTTTTTTTTTTTTAAGATTTTATTTATTCATTTATTTGAGAGAGTGAGAGAGAGAGCACATGAGAGGGGGGAGGGTCAGAGGGAGAAGCAGGCTCCCCCAGTAAGAGCTATTCTTATTAATATTTTCATTGGTAATGCCTGTGGTTGCTGGGTAGTACTTTTTTTTTCCTGTCCTGTATTATTATCTGTACATTTTCATAGATGAGTGGTGTTTGGTTTGGGAGAGACTTAAATAGGGCCTTTCTTATTAAGCTAGTGCAATGAAGTACTACAGCTGGCCTTTCTCCTATACGAAATATAAGTAGTGGATGGCACATGCTGTATCTAGGAACAAAAATGCAATTTTCTCTGCAGAGCTATTGATACAAAGACACCACATGTGTCTCTCATCTAAAAGGGAATATCAGGGGGCACCTGGGTGGCTCAGTCCGTTAAGCTCTGCCTTCGGCTCAGGTCACAGTCCCAGGGTCCTGGGATCTAGCCCCAGATTTGGCTCCCTGCTCAGCAGGGAGCCTGCGTCTCTTCCTCTCCCTCTCCCTGCAACTCCCCCTGCTTATGTGCTCTCTCCCCCTTCCCCATCAAATAAATAAATAAATAAATCTTTTTAAAAAAATAAAAGGGAGGATTAGGATTTAATTTCTACACGGTGATAATATGTTCTCCTTTGTTGCTCTGGTTGGTGACTGTTACATTGCCTTTGTTCAAATATGCAAACATAAATGTTAGTAATGTTAAGATGGTAAATTTTATGTTATATATATTTTGTCACAGCTAAAAATGAAAAATGAAATGTTAAAAATAAGTAGTATATAGTAGAGCCATTGGAACCAGGACGTTTTGGTGCTGCTTCTGGCTTGTCCACTAACCAGTGGTATGACCTTAAACAAATCAATTAAATTATTTGTGCCTTTAGTTAAAGGATATTAACTGGGTGTGATCATAAAGCCCTTTTCAGTGGTAATGTAATAATTTTTTGCTGTTGTTTATTGGTATCTTCCTTTGTTAGCATAGCCCATGTTGTCAGCTGCCTCTTGAACTTTTTAATGTGTTGAACCTCTTAAGATACAAAGGAATATCTGGGTTTCACTATGCAGACAAGTGAAAAAAATTACTTCAATCTTTATATAATTCAATGCAGAGACTTACATCACAATAGTCTTAGCTAAGTTTAAACAGGTATTAAATGTAATGGCTATTTCTTAAATGCCCGCCAAGAATGGGAGAAGGAGGAATTGGGGGATGAAGGGGTAGCAGAGTAGCATCACCAAGATTGTTCAGAAAAGCAGATACACATTAAAATAGATCTTGAACAGTCATTGTTAATAATGAGAACTGACTTGAAAATCAGTTTTCAATCACTTTTACTATGTGAAAGATAATACCTACCTCATTGAAACTATTGTCCTTACCATACTTCAGCAAAGCTACGCTTTTCCAATATTTAAACTTTTTGCAGCATCAGTGATCTAGAATATAGCCAGGCACCTCAAAATAAGCAAATAGTTTTGTTTGTTTTTTTTTTAAACCTCTGACTTAAAGGAAAATTGTGAGCACTTTGTGACACCTTTAGCTCTTACCCGTAAGGTGTTATCAGTATCTTTAAATTAAGGTTAATTATGTATTACAAGAGATTAAAAGACTGAAGTTCTTTAAGGAGGAGATATCATTAGAAGGAAACCTTAAAACCCCTAAGTGACAGGGGGCAGGAAACTGTCACATGTGTCTGCATACTTGAGGGCATCAGGGGTAACAGTATTATAATCCTGTTTGGCATGACAAATTTGGGTTATCATAAATAGCTTAACTATATTAAAAGACTCAGGTAAATGGGTCAGGACATTTTAGTATGAATTTCATTTAAAAATGGTTATTTTTTTTTCTGAGATTTATGTGCTTCAGTGGGTAAGCTTCATTAGAAATGCGTTAATGTGGAATGCATTCATTGATTATGCCATATAATAAACACTTCTTTTTATAGTTTTCATGAGCCTTTTAATATCCAAGATATACTTTAACAGGTTGTATTTGTAGATCTTCCTGAGACTTATTAGTGTTTCTTTCCTCTGTACTTCATATTGTAAGCCAAATATAAACAATGCAGATGTATGGTTTCTAAGACTAAAGATAGAAATTATGAATCTGCTATTGGCAACATAATAATAAATCTAATAATACCAGTTTTATCAAGAATATTACAGATACCTTTTAAATTAGTCCTTTGTTTCACCAAAAATGAAAGAAATTATATAATAAAGTGAGGAATTGATGAAGATAGAAATTTGATACAACTGATAGAGAATTGACAACCTGGAGATTTATAGAAACATTTTTTTTTAAAAAAACTTAAATTTTTTTCTAGTGCCTTATTTTTTTATTTTTATTTTTTATTTATTTATTTTTTTAAAAGATTTTATTTATTTATTTGACAGAGAGAGAGACAGCGAGAGAGGGAACACAAGCAGGGGGAGTGGAGGAGGGAGAAGCAGGCTTCCCGCTGAGCAGGGAGCCCGATGCGGGGCTTGATCCCAGGACCCTGGCATCATGACCTGAGCCGAAGGCAGACGCTTAACGACTGAGCCACCCAGGCGCCCCTAGTGCCTTATTTTTTTAATGAGCATTTTACTTATGTTTTAACATAAGGCTTGAGAGTTTATAACCTTTGAACATACTCAAAAATTAAGAAGATAATCATCTCGTAAGGAAAAGAATGACCTTGAATCAAGTTCAGAAGTACTGCAAATAGAAAACCAATGCTGTAATCCAGATTAACTCACTTTCCTTTTTTTCCCTTTAATTTCACTTAATTGTGAATCTTAACATTGTTGATTTTGCAGGATGTAATGTGAGGTATCAGAGTTTTCTGGGAGTTAAAACATAATGCTAACCTTGATTTTCTCTTCCTTATGATGGGCTACAAGTTCCTTTTTGTGAGGCTTTAAATTTCTTTCCCTTTACTTCTTGAAAAATAGAGGGGGATAGCTGTTGAGATCATGTTAGACTTGAAGACAAATAGTAAGTTACTCCTTAGCTATGTCTTCTCTTGTCGACTCAGCTTCCATTCCAAGAATGTGAAAGACAAGCAGAAGCAATGGAATCATCCAGCTTCACTAATCAGTTTTTGTTGTTGCTAGTATTACAGTGAAAGTTCTCACTGAAGTTGTAGGAGTTTTAAAGCAATGTGTTGAATAACAGAAAAGTTGTCCCGCTGACCATATGGATTGGATAGTTCAT